GGGGTTGGGTGTCCGTGCAATAGAACTTGTTGAGTGGAAATGTAAGTGAGAAATGTTTCACTTTTTCCGAGGAATCTTGGAACAATGAGGGAAGGAGAACAAAGATTACTAATCTATGAATTCACAGTGGAGAGGAAGACGAATCGAGATAAAAGAGAATGAACGTTCATTTAGCTAGTGTTTGTTTTGCTCATTTGCAGTACTGGTTAGTGATAAGCCTTGCAGAAAATGGAAGGCGATACAAATAGTGCAATCATTAGGTTGCAGTTCAAATTAGCACATAAATAATACACCAATATGTTATGGAACTTTTCCTGTCTCAATTAATTTAACACTTCAAGGATTGATATACGGTTTTCTAAAAGTATTGTTTTCTGTATATGTAGAAACGCTTTTTATCATCCTTCATACAGTAAAAAGTCGTTCAAGCTCTGAGCTCAAGTGATCTTGTAAGTCTCCAATTGATTAAATAGCAAGCTAATAGCTAAATGGAAGAAAAATTGCCTTTTATAGACTAAATTTTGCAACGACTCTTTTCATCGAAGAGATATTATGACTCTGCGACCGCACATTTTGTAGTGGCTACTCCATGTTTGGCAAATGTTGATAATCGTTTTAAACGGAATTTTCCGATGTTATAATTCTCCACCGACTGTAATAAAACGCAATATTCGGTTTTGGGAGAATTTGATCAATTATCGATTGAAAGATCGCAGGGGCGGATGTAATCCCAAAAGGCATCCTGGTATAGCGAAAAAGACCTCGATGGGTATTTATGGTACAAATACCCTGTGATGCATCAGACAATTTAACTTGTAAGTAGGCTCCAGACAAATCAATTTTACAGAAAACTTTCCAGGTAGCCACCTTAGCCAAAATCTCATCGATTCTGGGTAGAGGGTAATGTTCAGCGGTTATGTAACGGTTTAGCGTGGCTTTACCGTCCAAACAAATACGCAATGATCCATCTTTCTTTGGGACAACCACGATTGGACTTGCCCAAGAAGATGATCGAACTGGAATCAAAATGCCTTCCGCAACTAAATTTTCTAAACCCTGCTCAACTTTCTCGCGAAGAAGAAACGGAACTCCGTATGCCTTGTGAAACACTGGCGTAGCGTTAGGTTTTAGAACAAGTTCCGCGGAATAACCGCTAATCGCGTCTTTATCAGTGTCGGACACTACTTTCGGAAATCGCGTTTGAAGCTCGGACTCAAAAGAATGTTCTAAACTACTCACGGACTCAACTGAAAAGATTTTTCTCCAATCCGGGTACATCCAATCCAGACCATCTCGACCCAGTAGCGGACTCATTTCCTTGTCGGTTGGAATCACGATCAGGTTCAACCTGCCGTGGACTCCTGACGGCCCGATAACACGGACAGTGACGATGCCTTCCGGTTGAATACGTTGACCTGAAACAGAGATGAACTTCTGAGAAGTAGGAACTAATAGACAATTCGAGAAAAATCTATGATACGTATCGGACGAGATTACGCTTCTGCAAGCTCCACAATCAGCTTCGAATTCTAGACGGTGACCTTCACAGTCCAGCGACACAAATTCTGGCAAATTGACTCGGTTCAATGACTTCGAACTACCGTTGCTTGAAGAGGGCAGTTCACTGACACTCGGCCCCAAGATAGCTAGACTGCTACTCCTTGAAACACATGTTGCTTGCATTTTACTGACTATGACGTGTAACTCGTTGGATTCATCTGGCTCATCAACTACGGCCAGGAGATTCAGATGGAGTACTTCCACTTCATCTGACATTTCTGCTACGCGATTGTTTCCACTGGTTTTCTTTGACAGACGACTTTTTGCTAGACAGCTTGTAGAGACATGGCCTTGCTTTCCACACGTATAGCAAGTCCAATTGCGTGCTGGGCACGTGGCTGGGTCATGATGCCGACTGCAGCGATAACATGGCCTGCCGGACTTCTGCCAAGGGTGACTGGATGACTTATTTTGCTCCTGTTCCTGCTGGTGCGATCTGTTTTTCAGCTTTTTCCCTCCTTCCTTCTGGAACGTTGCTAACTTTGGAGACGACTGATTTGACATTTCTTTGTTTTGGCACAAAGCTGCTTCCCAACACCTGGCAATCGAGCATGCCTTCTCAAACGTTAGGTCAGCTTCGGTAAGCAGCTTTTTTCGCAGCCCTTGATCGGTAATTCCAGCGACAAACTGATCTCGCAGTGCATCGGTAAGAAATGCATCGTAATTGCATGATTGAGCCACTGCTTTGAGATTGATGATGAAATCGGTGATCGACTGAGTGGCAAGCTGTTCGCACTTCCTAAACTTGTACCTCTCTGCCACGACGTTTGTGGTTGGAGCGAGGTGTTTTTTAATAGAGTGACCAGGACCTCGTATGATTTCGTACGAGGGTCCTCCGGCGCGCATAGTCTGACCGCGACCGTATACAGACTAGGGCCCGCAACGGTGATTAACACGGGGACTTTCTTTTCATCCGGCGTGTCGTTCACCAAAAAGAACATCTCCAACCGGTTGAGATATTCTTCGATGTTCTCTCTTAACACGAAAGGTTCAATCTGACCAAACATGCCCGCTCGAATCACTACAGCTCCATTGTCATCTTCTTTTTTACTGAGCCTTCTGCTCCTTGCGACATCGTGCTTGATTGAGGTTATGTTCACCGACCACGCTGCACACTTCACGTTTCAATATTAAAATTCTATTTTTATTTTAATCCTCGTCGCCAAGTTTAACTGTTGTGACTTGAGGTAATAATTGCACGCTTTTATTAAGAAACACTAACTAACTACTTTATTTGATATTACACTTGGTTACACTATGTCTGTTCACTTCGGTGGTCGGTAGGCAAAGAGGACGAGAACACATCTCGTACTGCGTACAACCTCATTTGCTATAATCATTATGGCTACTTATGAAAATAGTTGACATGTCTTGTCTTTCAAGCCAGCAATAAACCTAGGAACAAGGTTGCAAGGACTCATTTCAGCTAAAACAATGTTTTTCTAAATTGTGAAATAATTAGATGCCATGATCAAATTTTGAATTGGTAGGATACAAGAGGAGGTTGCAAAGAATGTGTTTGACATATTAAACCTGTTTATTTCACTTCATGAGAGTCACAATCAGCGATTTTTCACAAACTCACTCACTCACTCACTCACTCACTCAGCGATCAGCAAATCACTGATTGTGACTCATAGAAAGCAAAATTTACAGGTTTTATGTTTCCAACGCATACTTTGTAACCTCTTCTTGTAAGTTACAAGTAAAACATGCCATCATACCATCTTTTGGTTTTATTATTCCGAAAAACATTGTTTTAGCTGAAATGAGTCTATGCAACCTTGCCTAGGAATACATCACTTATATTTGATCAAAAAGTGGTCTTTAACAAAGTTTTAGCTGAGAAAATTTTCAACAAGCTCAACTATCATTTTCTAAAGTAGAGTGAACTGATGAGTTTTGAGATAGATATGAACGGAAATAATGGTTTCTCCATAGTAATTCCCATATAAACTTCAAATGGTTTGTGTCAAGTCAGTTTCTAACTAAATGAGTTCAAATTTTGGGAGGCTAATCAGGGTCCTATTTAGAGCAGTTTGAGCGCTGTGGAGCGAAAATTTCAAATTTTGCATCAGTCTTGCAAAGTGGTGTTGAGTACTTGGCACTGATGAAGTCTGCAAGTAGTAGACGAAATACGCGTATCTGTCAAAAGATAAGCAATTATAATGGAGTTTAAAGTAAATAAACCAACCCACTCCAAGCTCTTCATAAAGGGATACCGTTAAGAGGTTTGACAAATTTAAAGGATAAATCGATAATTATTCGATGGTCCCTTCAACATCGAGTTATGGAGAGCTGACTGTATTACAAAAGTTTGCATTTTTCATTAAAATTTTTACAAAAAAAAAAATCTAGAATATTGTACAAGCACATTATTTGTTACTGAAGTTTTCAACACTTTTTAGGACTTTTTAACCAAAATTTCACAAAACGTAAACACTTAATTTTTCTCTATAACGCTAACGGTGGTTTTGACTAGTTGATTAGAATTGCTTTATCGTTTCTACACTAAAAGACAGAAAAAGCCACCCCATAAAGCAATTTAACTATAACTTTATCTCAGACGTAATTTTTATTGGGAGAGACATTTTCATGCTACATTTTTGACGTAGGACTACATCTGTGATTTCTATATGAGGGTACACTTTGTGAAAACCGAAAATGGAACATGAAACAAAATTGTGAAAGATTTTGAACGTTAATAACTCAGATGCCCCTGGTCAAATTTAGAAGTTTTTATCACCAATCGACCAGCAATATTTCTACGCATCGATAACAATGCTTTTGACTGTTGATTTTTAATAAGAAACTATTGGAAAAGTGGTAAATGTCCAGCATTGTCCAAAAGCGTCGAATTAACTAATTCAACGACCAATTACGTACATGCTTATGCTGTTTTCCCAACACAGTCATCAGAGAATCATTCCTAGACGAAACATGTCGATGTAGCATTACGGCGAGGCTCGGTAGCTCAGTGGTTACCGTTTCTGCTTACTGAGCAGAAGGTTGCGGCTCAATCCCTGGCCCGTCCCCATCCTTGCAATTTTTCACTTTGCCTTATCCTATCCCCACTATGCTATTTTGCCTGGAACTGCTCTGTAGTAAAAGTAGCTGTAGTTCAAACAAGTAAAAAAGTATGAAAACCTTGTAGTTTGACAAGTCAATAGTTGTGACACAAATTCATTCATTGCGTTTTCAAATATCATCATATCGTGTGATCGTAAATGTATTTATCCAAACAAGCGACACAATTATCGCACCCAGGTTGATATCTAAACATCGTTATCAGATGGCGTCGTCGTTGAGAAATCACCACAACCTTCAATTCCATCGCTATCACGCAACATCAATACGTCGCACGTGATTTCCCTAATCGCAGGAAGTTTACCATAAATTGTTTCATCATAATCATTTTCCCCTTCCTTTTGCCATTTCAGGGAAAGTGAATTCACCGGTGAAATCCTAATCAACAAGCAACAGCGTGACTTGAAGCGTTTCCGGCGCCAATCCGCTTACATCATGCAGGCTCACGACCTGCAGCCACACTTGACCGTGCTGGAAGCGATGCACTTCTCGGCCAATCTCAAAATCGGTGCCGAGCTGAGTCCGGCCAGTAAGAAAGTTCGCGTGAGTTTCTGCCTGCTTTATTTTATCCATTACACTTCAAACAATTTAACAATCCATCATTGATATTCCAGATGAATGAAATCCTCTGTGCCATAGGTCTGCAGGAGCACAAGAAGACACGCACTGCCAAGCTGTCGGGAGGGCAGAAGAAGCGGCTGGCGATTGCCTTGGAGATCGTGAACAATCCACCGGTGATGTTCTTCGACGAGCCGACCAGCGGGTTGGATATTTCCACCTCGAAAAAGTGCGTGGAACTGCTGAAGCAGCTGGCCCGTGAGGGCCGAACGATCATCTGCACGATCCATCAACCGTCGGCCCTGCTGCTGAACATGTTCGATCATCTGTTCACGGTCGCCGAAGGGCAGTGCATCTTTACCGGGACGAGCGGTAACATTGTGCCATTATTGAAGGAGCTGGACATCATCTGCCCGGAGCATTACAGTCCGTCGGATTTCTGTAAGATTCAGACAGTGTACTGTTCATGATCGCTATATTAATAATTTCGAATGACTTTTTAGTATTAGAAATCGCAACGCACGACTACGGCCGCCAGAACGATAAGCTCGTCGCCAAAACGGAGAACGGCAAAAGCACTGCATACAGACGGCACGAATTGTTCACCCCCTTCCTGATGCCAATCCTGGAGTCACCGGTGTCGATCGAGCTTCCAGCGCTTCCGACAAAGGAGGACTTCAACTCCCCGCTAGCCAAACCAAAGAAACTAGCCAAGAAGCTGTCATTCAACCCGGAGAAGTGGTGCGGACGGGACGAGATCTACACCACCAGCTTCTGTCGCCAATTTTCCCTGCTGTTGTTGAGAACCTTTCTGATCCTGAGTCGAGATCGGTCACTGATGACGATGCGGTTAATCATCCACTGTACGATCGCTCCGTTGATTGGGATGTTGTACTTTGGAATCGGAAATCAGGCGGCGCAAATCTTTAATAGCTTTAACTATGTGTTCTTTTCGATTATGTTTCTGATGTTTACCGCGTTCAGTTCGATGACGATGGCATGTGAGTCGTTCAGGTTGATGTTTTGATGATCGTTTGAATTTCATAGTTTTGATTACCACATTTTAGTCCCCTTGGAACTTCCGATCATCACGAGGGAGCACTTCAATAGGTGGTATTCCCTAAGGGCGTACTACATCGCAATGACGGTGGCAGACATTCCGATTCAGGTGCTATGTACGGTGACCTACATTTCCATTACGTACTTCATGACGGGGCAACCGCTGGAAGCCTACAGGATGGGACTGTTCACGTTGATCTGCTTGATGGTGGCATGGGTTGCTCAAGGATTGGGGCTGCTGGTGGCGTCGCTGTTCGATGTTAAGGTATGTGAATGCAGTTTTGGATATTATATTATTCCTGCCATTTGCTTGATTCCAGAACGGAGCCGTCTTTGGACCTTTCTTCATCTGCCCGTTCCTGATCTTCTCGGGATTTTTCATCCACCTGAACGATGCCCACCCGGCCATGCACTGGTTGTTCCATATTTCCTTTCTCAAGTATGCCCTGCAGGGTGCCACGGTGGCCATCTTCGGCTTCGACCGACCGAAGATGGACTGCGAGGAGACCTACTGCCATTTCGTGTTGCCAAAGAAGTTTCTCAAGGAGATAGACATGGAGGGCGCGGATATTGTCGAGGCTGTGACTGCACTGGTGGTGATCTTTTTAGTCCTCCGGATAGCGGCATTCTACGTGATGCGATACAGGCTGAAGAACAAAAACTAAATGTGATAGAGCGAATGTGCGCGGTTCTTTTTCTGTCGTATCGTCGATTTCAACCTGGCCAGAAGTTTGCTTTTGAGTTTAGTTTAAGTTCGTTCTTCTTAATGATTCGTTCGGTTAAGTTAAACTGCAAAGAAGTCGAGTTGACATTCCTTTTTTCGTCCCCGGTCGAAGTCTATGCGATTTGAAGTTTCTTTAGATGCAAATTGCAGGAGTCATATTAGGTAGGAAACCAACAATGTGAATAGTCACCGAGAAGTTATTTGTGTTCGAAGGATGCAAAAAAAAAGTGATTGTCTTCCGAGGAAAAGTAGCGGATTATGATGGTCTTGCATTTAGCCTAGCGTTGTTATTACTAAAGGGGTGTATTCCTTAAGAAATATTTTATCGAATGATTCGAATGTAAAATAAATAAGTTGCAAAGTTAAAACAGCTTTATTGGAAAATCCTCAACCGCCTTCTTAGGCATATGTACAATATCACCTGAAACAGAGCGATGAATCCTAACATGACGTACACGTTATACTCAAATCCCGTATCCGGAGTATCCATAAACTTCAAATATTTGCTTGGCCTATTGTAGTAGCACATAATCTGCGAACAGGGAAAATCCGTTCGATTGTAGCCGTAGATGGCTTGCAGCGATCCCTGCATCGTGTACCGAAAGAACGACGTATAGGACAGTGGTTGCAAAAACTCCAACATCTCGTACGATTTGATAAAGTACCCAGAAAAGAGCATAGCCGGAATGCTCAAGCTGGGAACGAAGAACGTCGCCATCTGGATGTCGAATGCGGCCCCGGAAAGAAGACCTACAGTTTGAGCAAAGATGCCCAACAGCAAACACATGGCCCAGAACATGCCGAATCGCATCGGTTCCAACGGTTGACCAGTTAGGTAGTACCCAATGCTGACGAACAGTGTCGGACAGATGAGCTGAAGTGGAATGTCGGCGAAGAACTTTGCCAGGTAGTACGCTTCCAGAGAGTACCAGTTGTTGAGATGTTCCCGCACGAAGATTTTCGCCTCCGATGGGACTGAAAGAGAGATTGATGGATGAAGTATGTATAACATAAAATACACAGTTGATAACCTACAAGTAACAGTACAGGGCATAGCGTTTCCATAGAAGATGAAAATGTGAAAGAAGAACAGACCAGCTGTGTTCGTCATTACGGTGGAAGCGTCCTGTCCAGTGTTGTAGAATACGACTCCCAACAATATTCCAACTACGACGTGAGCAATGACTCGGAGTTGAGCAAAGAACTGTAAATAAACGAGCATCATAGTTAAAGCAGCACTTTTTAAAGAAATAACAAAAGTCTTACAAAATCTCGCGCGGTAGATCGAAGCGATCGCCTAAGAAGCACATGGAACTGTTTCCACTGTGGAACCGGATATCTGCGTCGGGATTTTCTGATCAGACAAGTATTCCGGTAAGGTGTCAGGATGCTGTTCCTGTAGTTGACGTCCTCATCGGAAGATTTTCTCCCGTGAGCGTCGGAGTTGTTGAACTTTAAGGTGAGCAGCTCGATTCCGGGGCAGCTCGACATCGATGCTACTTCCAGAGCTGAAAGCAAAGCAAAACAGTGATGTTAGTCTCGATGATATAGGATAATAATAGAGCGGGGTGAGAAAAATACCTGTAGCAAAGGTTATGGGTCAAATGTTATGGTTTGTTTCCCTAATAATTTTATTTGCACTTTAAATTGGACTCCGCTGACACTAATAAAAGTGCGCGTTGAACGTTGCATCATCGTTTTGGTGTCCTCTGCGCATTTATTTTTTTTATGAATCAAGGAATAAGTGCGACCAAAGCATCAACCCGATTTAACGTACACGAGCACTTATATTATAGCTGCCGCAGTTATAATCGCACTTTTAAAACATGAAATCTCGCGTAACATTTGAAAAGGGCCTATCCTCGTTGATCGATTCTCTTCATCGACTTTCTCTTTGATTTACCACGGCTAAATAAACGAATTTCTCGCTGAGCTCGCAGTACAGTTCGGTGGAAGATGATGTTAGCTTGCGCCGTAAACAACACACTCAATGGAAAATTCATTAGCAGTCGGGTTATTCGAGGAACAGAAAATCGATGAAGAGAATCGATCAACAATGATAGGCCCTTTTCTCTTGTTGCGCAAAGAAGGGAAAAAATTGTGCACAGTTATTTGGAAAATCCATTGTGGTCTGCATCTAGGCTAGCTAAACAGCTGAAATTGGCCAGAAATACCGTATGGCGCGTTATCAAACGGTATAAGGAAACATTGACGACGATTCGGAAGCCTCAAGCCAATCGTCGGAGTGGAACTGTCGACCGGTAAGATTTTGAAGACGATTAAGAGGAATCCCAATCTGTCGGACCGTGATTTGGCCAGAAATTTCGGTGCTGCCCATAGTACCGTGAGGAGAACTCGACTCCGGGAAGGAATCAAGTCGTATCGAGCTAGCAAACAGCCAAATCGGACCATAAAACAAAATAGTGTGGCCAAAATCCGTGCGCGGAAGCTATACGACCAGGTGCTGATCAAGTTCGACGGGTGTCTTCTGATGGACGATGAAACCTATGTCAAGGCTGACTTCGGGCAAATCCCAGGTCAAAAATTTTACTTGGCAACGGCTCGGGGGGATGTTCCAGCCAAATTTAAATTTGTTTTTGCCGACAAATTTGCACGAAAATTTATGATTTGGCAGGGCATTTGCAGCTGTGGCAAAACAACGAAAGTTTTCGTTACAAATAAGACAATGACGTCGGAACTATACCAAAAAGAGTGTCTCCAAAAACGAATTTTGCAGTTCATTCGATCCCACGACCATCCCGTAATGTTTTGGCCAGATTTGGCAAGCTGTCATTACAGCAAAGTCGTTCAAGAATGGTATGCAGAGAAAGGGGTCCAGTTTGTTTCGAAAAACCTTAATCCACCCAACTGCCCCCAGTTCCGCCCTATTGAGAAATACTGGGCAATCATGAAGAGGAGACTCAAGGCAAAGGGAAAGGTTGTCAAAGACATCAATCAGATGAAGACCTGGTGGAATAAGATAGCTAAAACGATGGACGAAGAAGGTGTGCGCCGCCTAATGAGCCGTGTTACAGGAAAAATTCGAGAATTCCTTCGAAACCGTGACGAATAATTTTATCCGTATTTTTTCTTAAAAGTATGAAGAAAACGCTACATTTGTATAAAAAAAGATCTTGAATTCAATAATAAATAACTGAAATACAGGCAATTGTTTTTGTTCCAATTCTATCTGAAGCAAGCTTTAGTATTGTTGGTTGATAAATCTGTTCGAAATTCGTTTGTTGAAAAATCATTCATGGTGATTCCTTCAGGAGTCCACAAATTGCCTGATGGTGGCTGAGATGCCCTATCACTTCAAGTGTTCTAGAGCACAAATGTCGGACACAGTTGTGACATCACTCATGAAGTTAGAACTCCCTGTCTGCTGCATCAAATGTGAAGGTCCAGTTTCATTGTTGTATGTTTTGTGGCAGCTCTGTTCTTGAAATGTTGAGGTGATAGTATAGCGCATTACACACATTATAAGAAGTACGGAAACGCATATGTCACGAATGGGAATTCTCGGATATCTTCAAGGTCATTACTGATTTCCATCACTACCTCAACAGACTTCCCCAATCTCAGGCATTTGGTGAAGATCAGCATCGATGGCACCTATCAGTTGGTCTTGGGTTTGGTCACGTTTGGCCATCAATTCTGTTGCCAAATCTCCAGGCAAAAATTGTTGCTTCCAGCGTTTGAACATGCAACAATCACAAAAGCAGGTGCTGTAATTATTTTGCAAAATGTGACGAAAAGGTTGCGTTTCTAGCAACCCTGATTCAGCAACCCAGATTCATCAACAATTTTTGAGCACAAAGTGTTTATAATCGTATTAATAAGCTTATATATTGCTCTTTTGATTGTCGATTTCTCCATATTTTGGTGGTGACAAGTTGAATCTCTCACTAAAATGTGCTCGTTCCCCCGCTGCTGGCGTGCAAAAGGACCAGTACTAAGTAACTAATGGATGTTCACACTGCATGGCTTATAAGATCGACTCAAATTTAAAATTACTCAAACGCTAGTAAACGAAGTTAACTTGAATAATGAGTAAAATTTTCCAAGTCTCATAAATCTTTTCGAATAATATGACAAAAATCGACAATCGACAATCCATTGGAAAATATTCATTTGAATTTCACATAACTTTCATGTGATTTCATAATTGGGAATAGCATCACAAAACCACATGAACCTTATGTGGCAAATGATATTTAAGTGATTTATCATATAGAACATATAGAACATTCCCAATAGAAACTACATGAAAACTTTTTTGACGTAGAACTACGTCTTTGTCGACTATACTGGGGTGCAAGTCAAAAAATATGTGTGGTGAAGGAGTGTTAGGTTTTGAACGCTTGTAACTTTGTCATTTATAGATGAAATTAAAATCCAAATACGCCAATCGATAGGATATTACATTACAAACCTGTTGAAATAAATATTTTTCCAATTTTTCTATAATTAAACTTTTGAAAATGTACAAATGATAATTTTATCACTGATTTCATGAAATAAGCCTTTTTCCCAAACCCAGTCATCATAAACGAATACCACTTGGTTGCACATCATTCTGCTTGAACCTGAAAAGATATAAATCAGCGCTGCTCTCATACCACTGCTCAGTTCATCATCATTCGCTGCCAGACTGTTGAGCAGTTCAGTCGATTTGAATTCTCTCTAGTTTCGTTCGTTCGTTCGCAAGTCGAATTAGCTCCGCGTTGTATAGTGACGCTCTCGCTGACCCAGCCATGGGTAAGAAATCGCGCGGTAACGCGAGTGCCGGCTTACCGGGAAAACAGACTCTCCCAGGAGACGGCGCGACCACCGAGCCAGCTCAGAAGAAGCAGAAGAAAACCCCATTGCCCGTCCCGACAGGCGTTGCGGACCCGCAGCCGGGGCCTCCCGGAACTAAACGACCCAGACCTGAAGACATCAGCGCCACTGCATCGGCAGCAAAAAAGCTGCTGAGCAACAATCCGTTCTCCGCCCTGCAGAACGGAGCCCAGCCGCAGTCGGACCCTGAGACGGTGCCTAAAAAAGTTAAGTTGCCACCCTTCTATGTGAAGGGCTTCCCTCCCGGGCTATGGGAGCAGCTGGATTTCTACATTAAGCAGGGCCTTCGCTGCACCATTCAACGGTGCACGGAAGGCTACAAACTGATGGTCTCGGCCGAAAATCACTACAACGCAGTCCAGGCCCTCTTGGACAGGATGAAGCTGGAGTACTTCTCCCACGACGTCGAGGCCACCAAGCCGCTGAAAGTGGTGCTGCGCGGGCTCCACGACATGGACACCACCACCTTAATGGACGAGATTAAGGCGAACGGCCTCAAGCCGGTCGAAATCCACAAGATGACCCGCAGCAAGGCCATCAAGTATCGTGACCAGCTCTACTTGGTCCATCTGCAGAAGAACTCCACAACCGTGAAGGATCTCCATACGACACGCACACTGTTCCACATCGTAGTGAAGTGGGAGCGGTATAAGCCAACCCACCGTGGCGTCACTCAGTGCTCGAACTGCCTATTGTTCGGGCACGGCACCAGGAACTGCCGCATGGCCAGCCGCTGCATCAAATGCGGCAAAAACCACAAGATCGACGACTGCGACAGCATCGAGGAAGCCGCTCCCACATGCGCCAACTGCGGTGCTGCCCACAAGGCCACGAGTAAGGCCTGTCCGAAGCGGGCCGAATACGCCGAGATCCGGAAGAAGGCCTCGTCCAACAACCAGCCCGGTCGCAAGAAGGTCCCGGAAAACAACGCGCAGAACTTTCCTCCGTTATCACCGGTCCAACCACGGCCAATTCCAGTGTTGGCGCCGCTCCCGCTCAACCAACAGTTGGCTGCTGCCCAGTCGGCTGCCGCTGCAGTACCCAGTCAAGCCTCCGGCCCATCGACGGATCCCCCTGCTCCGGGATTGGCCGGTACAACCGGTGAAGCTACAGACGATTCTCCGCTGTCAACGGATGAGATCGTCACACTGTTGGCCCAGGCCATCATCATCAAGCGCACCTGCGCAACAAGAACACAACAGCTCCAAGCTATCATCTCCTTCGTCGCTAATTATGGACCGTGAACCCATAAAGATCGCCAACTGGAACGCTCGCTCCGTAGGGGCGAAAAACATTGAGCTTGCAGACTTCCTCCGCAAGCACGACATCGACGTGGGCCTTCTCACCGAGACTCACCTCAAGACCGGTGACAGCTTCTGGCTGCCCGACCACAGCATTGTCCGGCTTGATCGCACCAGCTCCAGGGGGGGCGGTGTCGCGGTCATCATCAAGAAAGGCATCAAGTACTGCACCCTACCCCACTACCGCACTTCCATCATCGAGGCCGTTGGCATAGAGGTGGAAACATCGACCGGAAACGTCCGGTTCATCGCCGCCTACTGCCCCCGGCAATGTACCGTTAGCAATGGTACAGCACAGCAGTTCAAGAACGACCTTGCCATCATAACCCACACCAATGCCCGCTTTGTAATCGGAGGGGACCTGA